AATAATGGGTTTTTGTTAGATGAGGGCAAAGAGGAACAAAAAGTGAAGGTTAAAATGGAATAATGGGTTTTTGTTAGATGAGGGTTAAAATGGTAATTTAAAAGGTTTATTGGCGGGGACCTCATGGCCCCGTGGTCCACATTTTGTGAACCCTACTTGCCATACCTCATAAGCAAGCACCGGAAAAGACAACATGTCCTCCCCTGGAATCGAACCCGGGTGGGCACGCCCAAGGCAAGACATTTACGGAAGGAGGTGGCCACTAGGCCAAGGCCTAATGGTTTTAAAAAGGTAATTTATTGTCATTCAGAAAACAATTACCAAACAACATTATTTTATTCAGCACTTAACCATTCTGACCCTCTTAACTATTCTGACCTCTTAACTATTTTGCACTAAATCATTCAGCAACTGTCAAACAGCCCCTTAGTACAATTATAGAAGAGAAAAGTAAAAAAACAAAATTCTAAAATCCCAACAAAATAAAAAGGAACGCATACCTGAATTAGTCTTCTCAAAATAAACTTGAAAATATATTTGTTGAAAACTAACAATTTATAAAATGAAAAACAAATCAAGTGATGGAGATGGAGAAAAATAGATTGAATGATGAACAATTCATGAAGAAGAGTTAGAGAAAATGAAAGGATTATGTTAAATACAAACATAAATGAATAATCAATTTTAAAAAAATTAAAAAAAAAAGATTAAAGGAGGATGAATGAAAAAAAGATAAATAAGTTTCTAACATATAGGAGAAGCCAAGTCATCAACCTTGGTTTTTCTTTTAATATATATATATATATATATATATATATATATATATATAGATTTCAAGTTAAAATTACCTAAATTATTAATTTTGTAACTTATCCTATGATTTATAGTTGAAATTAGATCTTACAGTTATTATAAATTGCTAAGTTCTCTCTTGAATGAACCCCTACATACATACATGCATATAATTGTAACATAAAACTAATAATTTACAATGACTATTTATTTTTTTTAAAGAAAAAATGTGAAAAAGACCAAAATACCCTTTACTAAATTGTTAAGTACGTAAAGATGTTAGTTATAGGACCATGGCCATAGAAACTGACAACCACAAGGACCATATCCATAATTAATCAAGTATAAGAACGTTATTCGTCATTTAAATGAACATAATGTATGACTACAATAATAAAGCAAAATGCAAAACTAATAACACGAAAATTATAATTATTTACACAAAATACAGAATAATTAGAACATGTAACATTGGATACAGGTAACAAAAATATAGGTCTATTTTATTGGGTAACATTAAATCTTACACAAAAAAGTAACGTCCCGTTTGGTTTGTAGCACTGGATTTGTAACACCCTTGTCCCGCGTGGCTAGAGGATGGTATGTTACGGAGAAAAACATAACAAGATAAATAGCTAATATATACGGGAAAAACCATAGCTACTATGAATATCTATCAAAAAAAGGTGTGGTAAACTAAAAGTTAAGACGACGTAGATACAATTACAATAAATACAGAAACAAAAACTACTATACTATCCAAGATCGTCCTCAAAATAGTCATATTTCATCGCTCTCAGTCCCGTGATAATCCACCTACGATCATGTACCTGCCGAGGACAAAACAAACCTCGGCTGAACCAATTGCTCAGTGAGCGGGTAATTAAAATAACAAGATCGCAAGTATATAATCGAGTTAATAAAAGATAATAATTATAATGAATCCGAAAACCGGAACATGAAGGGATCCATTAATAATTGACATGAATTGTCCATACTGAAATAATTAAAATAATATCATCAAGTCAAGAATTGAGAATAAATAAGAAAATCAATTGGGTTCGATGGTTGTACGTACCACTTGAACATTGGAAAATGAGTGTAGGGCAATACCCGCAATTCCCTTCCGGTAATCATCTCCCAAAAACGGTTCAAATCCGACAAAGGTTCAATACCAGAAGAATCGAATTCAAAAGTGGTTCAACTCAAGTAGCCAATAATAGTCATATCGAAGACAAAACTCTAATTATAACTCTATTAAGAATCATAATCATTGACATATCGGACACTAACAATTAAAAGAGTTATCAATGTCCCAATTTGATTTCATAAATTTGAAAATAAAAAACTATAATTATATACAAGTGATTGATGCCGAAATGGTAATGAGATACAAACCGGGGCTAATTTTTTAATAAAACCAAAGTGAACGCATCCGAACCTAGGGTTTTTGCACCTAAATGTTAAGCACAAGTGAGCATCCATAATGTAGCCATTTTTCAATTTCTGGCCACCTCCCATGATGAAAAACCTTGACAAGGGAAACTTGTTATTTTGCTTCTAAATCCTCAAGCTTCTTGGAATAACTCATTTTCTTAAGCTTTATGTTACACTTAATTACAAAAAGCTCTTTGGGAAAATCTCTCCCATTATTAGATGTTATAATTGATATTCGGATCAAGATCTATCACTTTCGGGACTTGACACTCCGGCGAAATTTATAATTGTCTAGCCCCCTCTCAACATTCTGTGATAATTTGCGCCCATGTTATAGTCTAACATCGGTTAGATTTGGACTAATTTTTCTCTATATATGTTGGAACTTTTTTTCTTCTTAAAGACTCTTTTGAAGAGTAAATATAAGGAATTCTCCCAAAGATGTCACTGGTTCGAGTTTTTTCAATGCTAGATCACTGGTTCGAGTTGTGCAATGCCACTGTAGATTTTTCTGGTTGTACGCCCTTAGAACTAGTCAAAATACGCAAAAGTTAGCCCGAACATCCATGGTAGAGAAAGGATTTTGTCTTGAGGAAGCAAGTTTGAAAAGTATTCCACTTAGAAAATATTTCTTTATGTCCAATTAATTGATCAACGTCAATGACAACGAAAGATAGCATATATATGGTTGTCATTCAAACACACCTATAGGCTTACAAGTTACACAAGACATTAAATTTCGTGACTTGAGTAGGTCTAGTAGCAAAGACATTAATTTTATGACCCCTCCATTATTATTTCGTCCCTAGACATTAATATCATTTTTACTTTTATATTATTAATTAATGTTATTAAAAATCATTATTTAATTAATGTTGTATTATTACTATTTTATATTATTCTTATGCTCAAGTTATTTTTATTTATGGAGTGAATTGTGGATTTCGTACATGTGATTTAATGGTTTTTTATTAGGGACTTTATAGTATGTTTATTGTGGATTTGGTTTTTGTGGTATTTAATTTGTTTTGGTCATGATCCCTCTAATTAACGTTGTCGTTAACTCTGTTAAATCAACGGTTATTTTAGCTTTTTGTATATCCTTTTTTTTTCTATAAAAAAGTAAAAACAATACTTTATACACACACAAATATATATATATATATATGTATATATATATGTATATATATATATATATATAATGATATTAAATAACATAAGATATTATTTTATGATTTATTTTGTTTAAATTAAAAAATTAATTATATTAAATATGATTTAATTTTATATAAAACATTTGACAAAAAATTCTTAAAAACCATTTTTTATGTATCAAGTACTATTTGTTGATATATATTACATAAAATTCAATATTACAACTAAATTATGCACAATTACAACTTATTAAATTTTCATGTTTGAATTCGTGTAACTAACTATAGACAAACATAGTTAAATACGATAAATATTACATTTGAAATATAAAAAAGTTAAAACATAATTAGGAGAATCATTGAAATCTAATAGAATACTTAATTATTATCTTTATAAAAAAAATTATATTATTAAACCAAAAATAAATTGGTTCGTTATTAAATCTGAATTAAATTATATTTTATTATAAGCATGTCGTTTTTCTCAAAACCATATAAAACTGTATTATAATATCGATATAGACAGAATAAAATGAAACATAAAAATCAACATGTATCTTGCTATATTATACGAGTACCATTCTAATTTATATTGTAGATTCTTGAATTTCAAATAACAGAAAATGTTAATAAAATTCCATCATTGAACTAATCAACAAATACACATTAATTGTAAAAAGTTGAAAAGTTCATTATAATACACTTGACAATAAACCAATTATATATACACTAAGAGTGTAATCTCTAAAACCACAAAGGGTATCTTTGATTGGTTTGAACTTGCCTCCAAAGATCAAAAATATCAGGATGTCTCATATTCAAATCCAATGAGGAATAAAAATCTCTTTGTGGCCATAGAGGTTCAAATGCGGTGACTCCGGGCTATGTGCAAAGCAGATGTTTGTTTTGGGATTAATCGGCTCACATAGCGGGTTGGATATCCAGATTAATAAACTAATGTTACATGCATGTGTGTTTTGTTTGTTTCATGTACTTGGTGTTTGATTTGTTCGGATAAGTATCACACCGATCAGCATGTGTTGCGGCCTACATATATAAGGTTAGCTTGAGAACTGAAGCCCCTCAAATACTACTCACTTGTAATTAAGCCACAAAACACAGCCATGAAAGTTCTACTGTGGGTACTAGTTCTAGTGATCTCGTTGTTTACATCATCTCATACAAATCCCACCTCCGAAACATACACCCTCATCAACGCTACCAATTTAGCAAAGCCAAACTGCTCGAGCCGATGCGGAGACGTTATTGTTCCCTACCCTTTTGGCATCGGCAACAACACAAATTGCTCTATAGGCTCTGGGTTCAATATCTACTGTGACAATTCTTCACGCCCTCCAAAGGCCTATCTTTTAGAAGGAAATTATAACTCAGTCACATCGATATCTGACTCCACACTGCGGACTACAAATATGGTGGCTTCCATATGCTATTCTCAAAATGGCTCTATTGACAGTTCATTCAATATTTCCACGGATTATACTGGTTCGGTGTACACCTTGCCAGAAGTGAACAAGTTCACGGTCATCGGCTGTGCAGATTATGCTTGGCTGACTTCAAGAACAAACTCAAGGGACGTGTCTACAGGTTGCATGACCATTTGCTCAACACTGGATGATGTTGTAGCGGACGGATGTACAGGAAGTGGTTGTTGTCAATCATCCATACCCCATGACATAAACTACTATACAACTCGGCTAGATACCTTGCGGGATCCGGGCAACATAAGCTATACAAGGTCTTTTAATCCGTGTACGTATGCGTTTGTCGGTGAGGAGAACTCATTCAATTTCAGTGGTATAACAGATTTGAACGATACTTCGTTGAAGGAAAAGATTGAAGCTAATGTCTCAATAGTGCTTGAATGGGGTATTGGTAACCTGAGTTGCATTGACGCCAGAAAAATAGATGGTTTTGCCTGCCAATCAAACAGTGAGTGTGTTGATTCAACGAGGGAAAGCCATGGGTACCGTTGCATCTGTAGTGAAGGCTATGAAGGAAATCCCTATCTATCCCCTGGCTGTCAAGGTATAATCTACTAACTTTTTCTCCAATTAAAAAGACTTCAAGCAAAATTTCAAGTAAGATGCATCAATAAACAGTACTTCATACATAAAAAATAGATTTTAAGAGTTTTTATCAAATGCTTTATAATATAGTATAGATATTTCGTTTTAGAAATTTTAGCATATTTTCAATTCTTTTTTACTGTTAAGTTTTATCATCTTAACACTTTAAAGGTCTTTAATGTCAAATTAATAGATATAAATAGATATAGATTGAATAATGATGTTGGTCCCTATGTTTTAATAGAAATTATGATTAACGGGGTCCTAAAGTCCATTAGTTATAGGTTTTGGTACTTGTTGTTATCAATTCTTTATGACTAGGGTCACTCTCCTTAGATTATATATACACACACACACACTCGTCGGGACTTCAAATGGGTTAACCGTAAGATTGTAGTACATCAAAACGTATCATATGCAACAATTTAACTGGGGTAAGAGTTGTCACCCTCACTAATCGGGTAACACTCCATTCTTATCATCGCTCTTACCGGGTAAGATTCTTGGCCCTTGCCATGTTCATTCGGTGAGGAAAATTACCCGGTAAGTACTTACCATATAAGCATTTAGTAAACGGCCCCTAAGTTAGCTTATAGTTGTCAAACTTGAACTTATCCTATGATATTTGATTACCCAAAACCTGTATCCAAAACCTGTATTTTAATTTGTGAACATTTTTATTTGCTAGACATCAATGAGTGCGACGATAAAAGTAACATCAGCTGCTATGGTCATTGCGTTAATACTCAAGGGAGTTACAACTGTACATGTTTACCAGGATACACTGGTGATGCAACAACACCAAAGGGCTGTCAACCTGCTTCTAAAGACTTCAAATTCCCAGTTATATTATTCACTTTAGGTAATTCTTCTTTTAAGTATTAATACAATAACTATTACAACTTTGTGTATGTTTATAGGGGCCGTTTACCTACACACTTCAACACTATCGTTTACTTATTGGGTAATATTTGAGTCCACCAAAACGACATTTGTATGTAATAATTTATCCGGTAAGTGTTAACCGTGGTAAGAGTCGTCGTCATCACTAACCGGGTAAGACTCTTGGTCCTTGCCTTCAGTCTTACCGGGTATGATTCTTGGTTCTTGTCATATTCATCCGGTAAAGTAATGTGACTTGGTAAGCGTTTACCCACGTAAGCATTTGGTAAACGGCCCTTAGTTATCTTATTACCTTTCATGTCACTTCATTTTAAGTGATCCTTTGTCTAACTTGCTCTCTTCTCTCACCCTACGTTTTCTTTGAGTTCTTTGCAAGTAAATGTTACTCATTGACGAACTTTCCTTTTATGTTTACATGTAGCACTCGTGATTGGCTTGCTGGCTATATTGTTAGGATTAACTGGGATTTTCTTTGGCATAAGGAAAAGGAAACTAAACAAGCTACGAGAAAAATTCTTTGAGAAAAACGGGGGGGTGTTTCTTAAACAAAAGCTCAAGGCACCGGGGACCAACGAGGCAATGACTATCTATAGCACTGAACAGCTCCGAAAAGCGACTCATAATTACTCTAATGATCAAATCATTGGCCGAGGTGGTTATGGTGTTGTGTATAAAGGAATTTTGCATGATGCACGCGTTGTTGCAATAAAGAAGTCTAAAGTAGTTGATGGAAMCCAAACAGAACAATTCGTCAATGAAGTCTTGATCCTTACACAAGTCATACATCGAAATGTTGTTAAGCTTTTAGGTTGTTGTTTGGAAGAGGAAGTCCCRGTACTAGTTTATGAATTCATACCTAATAACACGTTGTTCTATCACATTCATCATAGACCAGGTGGAATGAGTTGGTTATCGTGGGAAAATCGATTGAGAATTGCTGCTGAAGTTGCAGGTGCACTTGGATACCTTCATTCACAAGCTAGTATGCCTATCATACACAGAGATGTGAAGTCTACCAATATATTATTAGATGATAACTACACCACAAAAATTTCTGATTTTGGTGCTTCAAGGTTGGTTCCATTAGATCACGATCAAGTCACCACTCTTGTTCAAGGCACACTTGGGTACTTGGATCCTCAATACTTCAACACTAGCCAACTGACTGACAAGAGTGATGTATATAGTTTTGGAGTGGTCCTTGCAGAACTCATAACAGGACAAAAACCCCTTTGTGCAGGTAGAACAAATGAAGAAAAGAATTTAGCAACATACTTTGTCAAGTCGATGAAAGAAAATCGCCTATATGAAATTGTTGAACCACGAGTGCTACGTGAAGGGACTTTAGAACAGATACAAGCAGTAGCTGAGTTGGTACGGAGATGCGTTAAGTTAGATGGTGATGATAGACCTACAATGAAAGATGTGGCAATAGAGCTAGAGGGCTTGAGGAAGTTTACAACTCATCCTTGGGTTGAGCAGCAAACAAATGAAGAATCAAGAAGCTTAATGTTAGAAGTCGAACAATCTGATCTTTACAGTGTGCCGTTGGTCCCATATAGCTCAAACGAATGGGCATCTTATTCAGGTAGTACTCAAATGAGGTTTCCAGAAAATGAACCGCGTTAACTTGTTGGGCTACTTGCTATAGTATCAATTGAGAATCGCGACAATGCTTTCAGCGACATGAAAATCTTCCATCTCTGATAACTTCTTCAAGGGTTGTTGTCTCGTAATTTGATTGAATTTATCATGTTTTTCCTTATGAACTCGTATATATCCGTGTGAAGCTTGTAGTAGTTATCAAAGATTGTTTCATAACTTTTTGGATTAAATTTATTAAATTTGCTCTTGATCACTCTCGACCCTTGTGATAATTTGTTCACATGAACATGCAATCCTATAATGCTACAATCATTCTTTTGAGGCATCATCAAGGGTAGAGCCAAAATAATTTTCTAGTGGAAGTCAATATGAAAATGCAAGTACACTTTTAATTTCTTCTTTTAAGTAATAACTTTTTATCCAAGGTCATTTTCAAGCGGATGCTAATATGACATTGCAAGTACACTCAATATTTTGTGCTACAGTCTTATTTTCAAGTTGGGCAAATTGCATGAAAAATATCGTACTTTAACTTGATTCAACGTACTTTCAGAACTTCCTTTTTAGTACCTAAGATGTAAAGTTTTAAACATTCTAGTACCCAGTTAACCTGTTGAAGCATTAGCCAGTTACCAAGTTGATGTGGCGAGTAATGTGGTACCCGGTTAATGCTTCAGCAAATAATATTAAGTTGGATACCACATCACTCTCCACATCAGCACGGTAACCGGTTAATGCTTCAGCCGGTTACCCAGATACTTAAATGTTCAAAATTTTACATCTCAGGTACCAAAATAGAAGTTTTGAATTTTTTTTGAGAATACACTCAATATTTTGTGCTACAGTCTTATTTTCAAGTTTATGTAAGATAGAATTTGTTTTTATCGAAAATTTGAGCACATTGACAGGTTTAAGATTGGTACGAAGAGCAAAGTTGACTATTGATTTCTCGTAACAAAGAATTCACATGGTATCAAAGAATTCACTTCGTAATATTCTCCGCCAACAACTTACATCTCCTCGTTTTGTTTTATTACTCTTTCTTTTTTGTAATAACCCAATTTAATGTTCCCCAAGTTTCCTGATTCGATATCTGTATCGTTTTCTTTATCTCTGCGTCCAACTTGAAATTGATACGAACAAACTAGTTTTAGGTATGATTTCCCATTCTTTTTCTTGATTTTATTGTAGTTTAAGTTTGTTTCTTTAATTTCTTTGTTGTATTTAAGCAAAAACTTTATTCTTGATCATCCATAGCAATCATAATTCATATGATGATGATGGGATCATTGAAGGATCTAAAAGTGTTGCTCAATTACACAATAGAGATATGTAACTTAAGAAAAAATGATTAATCATTAGCTGTTAAGGTTGTGTGTCATCATTATCTTGATTTTGATGTAGAACCCCAACAGATAATGGTATTGCCATCAATATGGTTTTCATGGTTTTTTTATGCGAAGATGTTACTTAAAAAGTAACATCAGAAATAGAGTTTCCAGGATAAAGACTCATGTCCTCATGCCAAAATCGGACTTTCTGAATCATCAACCACGAAGACAAATGAGCCCAAATCACCCTTTGCTGCTAGGTCTTTGTTGCTCAGCGGAAAAAAGAGTAGATTAGACGAAAACCAAATAACTCAGTTTCACAATTGTACTTAAAAACGAAAACAAGTAATGATAATAACAAGCAATCAAAGTAAACAAAGAGTAAAGACAATGCAACAGATATTTATGTGGTTCAGCAAGATTGCCTACATCCACACCAGAAGAGAGAGCCCTTTTGTATTAGGTTAAGAATCGACCTTCTTTTCCCCTTTACAAGAAATCAATGTTCATATATTTTTCTCACTTGTCTCATCTTTCTTACACACTCTCAATTTCTAATTGAGTTACATATACAAGAGAGATATGGGCCACTTGACGATGGGCCAAGTATTGGGCATTTTAATTGATCAAAATGTTCTTCTTTTGGCATAAGGTGTGCCTACGCCTTATGAAAAAACATGTTTTGTTCCATATCTTCATTATAATAAGAGTATTCCTTGAATAAGGTATGCCCACACCTTATTACAAGACAACTTATGTCCGACACACTTACAATTCTCCACCTCGTACAACATTTGATAGACCTCGAATTTGGACAATCCCCAACGAGAAATTACGCACCTCTTGATATGTAGGACTCAACTCGCTACACCATTTGACCATGGTTGCCTACGTACCCTCACCTGGGATCAAGCCATTTTAGTTCATTCCAATCGGCTACATCATTTGACCATGATTGCCTACTAATTGTGATTCAGCAAACAAGGCCACAAACAACAATCAGAACTAAAAGCAAGTATACAAATAGTCCCAATATCGTTTTTCAAGTAATAAACGTGGTACAAGTACCTGATATCGTCCACAGGGATCATAGTAAAAGTTTAAAAGAAAGTAAAGTTAAGGAAATGATTTCAAAAGGCGAATTCAAAGATTTTGATTAGAACAGAGTTAACACAACTAAAAATTAACAGGAGATAACAGAATAAAAAAGCAAGCTAGGGTGTATGACTTTTCGGGTGAGATTTAAATACTATTTTCAGTCGACCAATGCTGTCAAAATGCTACAGAATGAAACCATGCTGACAAATTGCTACAACATGCAATCAATAACAACTATTTTTACCAATTACTTTGAAGGTATTCCTCTCGGACTTCACCAATGCACTGATATTATAGCTTTCAACCCATATCTCTATGAGGTATCCAGACCAGTGAAAGTGACAAATGGTGTCTTCAAAGTATATGGATAAACAAATATCTTTGTTAAAAATCACTCTCTCGAGTGGATTCCCATATCATTCAAGTTGACGTGTTCTGAATGGCTCATATCTGAGTCCATTGTACTTTAACATTTCAGAGTGATCAACCCATCAAGAATTAACAACTTAGAAAATACGGATAACAAATCTCTTTGTTAGCAACTCTATCAAGTCTACTTCTCATATCATCCAAGTTGATGTGCAATCAATGGCTCCGCTTAGAGTCCACGACACTTTAACACTTTCAAAGTGATCAACTCGTCAAGAAGTGCCATTGGTTTTATAAAACTTGAAATGAAAAAGTAAAACATCGTTGTTACATGAAAGGTAAATGACGAAAAGTAAATGACAAGAAATATAAATTGGGATAAATAAAGACATAAAATAAATGCGGAAAGTAAATGACAGAATATAAATGACGGAATAATAAAGATGCGGAAAGCGTAAATAAATAAATGACGTAAATAAAATGCAAGTAAGCATAAATAAATAAATGACGGAATAATAAGAGCGATAATATAAAGAAAGCGATTAAATAAAGCGATTAAAGAAACTCGAAATGTAACCAAAAGATTAATAATATTAAGAAATTTGTTCTCTAAGTAGCATGCAAACTACTTGAAGAGAGAAACAAGAGAGAATATGGAGTAAGAAGTGAAGTGGTGGAAGGTGTGGTGTGTTGAAAACTCATCCCAACATCCCTTTTTATACTAGGGATGGAATGAGGGCAAAATGGACATTTAACACCTCTATAGTTCAAAAGAAACTAAAAAGTACATATTAGCACACTAATATTTAGAAAGCAACTAAATTAGTCTTGTAAACTCCAGCTAATCTGATCAAACTACAGCTATTTCAACTTTAGAAGTCTTTCAAAGGTCTTCCCCATGTTTTATCAGTCAACTCCAAGTCTCATTCATCTCTTCTTCTACCATCAGGTCATGCTACCACATTCCCACAGCATCGACCTGCTCCAATCTGTCCAAAATAAGCTCAATTTAGACCAAAATCCACTAAAAACAGGTTCATCAATCTTCTTAGCATAAAAGTAGAGAAAAGAGATAAAATGACTCAAAGTTGGGATATAAATAGAAAATAACCTAGCTAAAAGAGAATAAAAAGGTACTTTATGTACTAAATACTTAGTACGTATCACACCCCCAAACCTAAACCGTTGCTTGTCCCCAAACAACCAAAAGACAACTAAAAATGACTCAATTTTTAAAATTTTGCAAGAAAATGCAGTAAGTGCATACACATGTTGATTATGCCAAAATGCACCATATAGCTTTCATAAGTCTTAAGTAAGCGTGTCTTAACTAACCATTAGCATGAACCATAAGCTAGCTCTATTTGCTCTTTGTTATGCTCAACACATCATATGTCTAAGATCAATAGGACTTGGAAGTAACTGGTTTACTCTCATTTGGCACATTTTTTCCTCTCTTTGCCTTTTCTCTCCTTTATACATCAACTTTGAATTTTTCAAATTTTTGGCACTTTGTGCTCTTTTGTTGAATGCATTTACACTTGTCCTTATGGGACATTTTTGGTGTTTACACCTACCCCTATGGGACATTTTTGGTGTTCTTAGATCTCAAATATGACTTTGAAGCGTTATGCACTTTGTGCACTTTGATCTCCACTTTTGGCACTTTGTGCTCTTTTGCATTGCTTTGATCAATGATGGTACCCTCCCCCAAACTCAGATTTTTCAATGTCCTCATTGGAAGTGTATAGGGGGCTGTTTATGCAATGGCTACAAGTGGCTAAATTTTGAGAAAAGAACAAAGGGCCTACATCCTCTTTTAGTTGAGCATATGATGTACATCAAAATGTGTTCCTAAGCAAAACAAGCTAGTTCTAGTGATACCAAATGATTAGAAAGTGTAGCTAAACTTCAAGAATTATTTTGGCTATACAAGCATATGGCAATTATAAACGTATGTGTTCTTTGCAAGAAAATAAACTAGAAAATGTAAAAGACAATCCCAGACTCAAGAAAATAAAAACAAGTTGAAATAAAATAAATACAAGAAGCTAAAGAGGGGATGATAGAACCTGTCCTACTCCATAGGAGTAGGTGAAGTGGAGATGATGTCCTTCAACCTCTTGCACTCCTTCTTCAATCGAGCATTCTCATCAAACAGCCTTGCATTCTCTTCCTTCAAGGCCTTCAACTTCTTTCCCAGTTTCTTCACTTGAGCACTTATCTTTGCTTCCAACTCAGCTCTTACCATCTTGATGTCTCCTCTGGTTTTCTTCTCTGCTGCCCTCACTTGCGCAACCAACTCCCCCTTCAACCTGTCTATCTTGTCAAAGAACTCATTTCTTTGTCCCAACAAGCTATCCATCAAACTGCTATTTTGAGCAAGCAGGTCTTGCATCAAACACAACATATCACTAGCTCCATTCCCTTTTTCCTTCTTCTCCCTCAGCCTAGAAACTGTGTTCATGTGAATCTTCCATTTCTCCCCTTGCTCTTTCACCATTTGATCCTCACAATACTGAGGAATTCCATTCTCTACTAACAACCATGTGATCAAACAAGGGAATACATCTTCCCCCTACTTCTGCCCGAACATGTCTGAATACTCTTCTCTATCACTCTTCCAAAGTTGTTGTACTTTCCTGTAACTAGACAATAAAGCAACAACATTCTCTCCACCAATACTGAGCTATCATGTGTGGTAGGAGCAATGGAGTGCCTTAAAAAATTAATCCATACATTGGCATTGGCCGTAAGATTGTAGGCCTTAAAAGTCCTCAACATGTAATTCGAGTGTTCATCCCAAACAGCCTCTTGTTTCCCTATCTCATCAGCCACCTCAGTCAAATCTTCTAAGGTTGCATGCCTCACCATTCTAGAGCAATCTGTCTCTTTAGGGGGGTCTAGGCTATACAGCCGATTGATGGCTTTAGAGTTGAACATGAAAGTCATCCCCCTAATCGATATCTTGGATGTGTTATATGCTGCTAATTGAGCATAGAACTCTCTAATTAGAGTCAGGTTATAGGAAGTTGGGACCATGCACATCTGCTCTATACCATGAGCCTCTACCACCTCTCTTATGAATGCAAATTCCCTAATGCTTTGCCTATCAAATCCCTTGTCTGGGAATCCAACCCTGTTTTGGAATCTAACATACATCTTTTCAGCAGCCTTAGAACTAAAACCATTGTGGGTTCTGATCGGCCTTGGAATGGTGGCTAGCCTTTGGGCCATAGCCACCCTCTTCCTCTTAAGTCTGGAGGAATGCTGCTGCAATGCTACAGCATCAGTCTCAGAGTTCCTAGGTGACTCAATCACAACCCTTTGAGACATGGTCTTCTTTCTAGATGGTTCCTCATTAACTACTGCTTTTGACTTTATTTTATCACAAGCCTTGACCAACCTTCTTTTTTTAGACACAACCTCAACAGGGGGTTCTTCATCCTCTTCCCCAAAAAATTCCTCATTGAGGTCGAGTATGGGGTCATGAGGAACAACATGAGGCATATCATCCTCTTCATCCGTGTCTTGCCCAGAGGCAGTCAAAAGGAGAGGCTTCCTCGGTTTTTCAATAACAGTAATATTTTCAAGAGTGCATTCCTAATTTTCCATCAAAATTTTCCCTGTTTGTGCCTTAGAGGCAGGGTCCTCCTCTTCCTCAGAATTAGAGATGAAGAGGCCCTCAGGGGGTGTACTATCGGATGAAGAATGTACCTTTTGAGAAGTTTCGAGTGTTTCTCTGTTGGTGGTGGTCGGAGATGAAGTTATGGCTTTTTTTGGAATCGGCATAGTGGATGATTTCACCATTTCCTTTGCTTTCTTTAGAGGGTCTGTAAATAGGATGATGGCAGCAGATGGCACCATTTGAAGAGGAGGTGCGGCTATTGGTACTTCAGGTGGAATGGCTTCGACGGCGATAGAAGTGGATGATAGTGGCAGAGATGGCGACGACGGTGGTGATGGTGAGTCTTCATCAACAAGGAGTGTAGATGACTCACCCTTCTTCTTCTTTGCAATGGGGATTCTTTTCCCCTTTCTCGCCGGCTGTCTTCGTGACGAGACAGGAGTGCGCACAGTGGCAGTGGCCACCGGCGGTGGTGGGTCAGACGGTTACGCCGGCGGTGCTTCAAATGCCCGCGTCGGAGGTGGGTCGCGGACCAGAGCCCTCTTCACTCTCGCCATTGATTTGAATGTTGGTGATGGTTGGGGAGCGGTTACCGGTCGGGAGAGAGAGACAATTAGAAATGAGAGGGAAAAGATAGAGGAGAAAAAGAGGGTTTCTTGGAATACAAGTGGGTTTATACAATAGACAAGGGTAAAATGGGAAGTAGGTTTTCAAACTTTAGTCACGTTTGAAGGGAAGGGTTACTTGACAACTTAGGATGTTTGAAAAGGTGGTAACAAGATATCATTTCAATAACAAAGAAGTACTTTTCTCTTTGCAAATGGTACCAAACTCGGCTGGCATTTAAAAGATGATCATATTTCTTTAAAATTTAATTTTTAAGAATGACATCATGCTTTTTCCACTCAAAATTTTCAGACTTTTAAAAATTTCCAAGATTCTCCATTAAAGGCTAGGGTTTTCAGATGCTGCAGCAAGACCTCAGGCTTTTCTTGATGATTGACTGTATTGCAAAACACACGACAAATAATGACAATATTATTAATAATATCAATAACTATAATAAAAACAAAAATTAAAGCAAACATAAATATTTACACACAAATATTTTGAACATATAAAAAGTCCAAAAATACCGAAGCTTTTAGCAAAGGGTAACAAAATTCACAGAGCATAACTCTGGAATTTCTACCAGATCATGAAATAACTTCACTCTTTGACCATTAACTTTGAACACAGAATTGTCCTCGGGATTGATTAGGTTAACTGCTCCGTACGAATAAACTTTATGAATGAGGAAAGGTCCAGACCAACGGGACTTGAACTTTCCCGGGAACAGTTTCAACCTAGAGTTAAACAAAAGAGCTTTCTGACCAACTCTCAACTCCCGGTGYTGAATTCTTTTATCATGCCATTTTTTGTTTTATCTTTATAAATCCTGGCATTTTCAGATTCCTATGTTCCTCTAATTCACACAGCTGGATTGTTCTTTTACTGGCAGCCATATCTGGGCACATATTTTATTCTTTGATGGCCCAATATGCTTTGTGTTCAAGTTCCAAAGGTAGGTGACAAGCTTTACCAAAAACCAGCTTATATGGGGACATACCAATGGGTGTTTTAAAAGCAGTCCGGTATGCCTATAAAGCGTCATCTAACTTGAAAGCCCAATCCTTTCGATTTGGCTTGACAACCTTTTCTAAAATTCCTTTTATTTATCGGTTTGAGAGTTCAGCTAATCCATTAGTTTGCGGGTGGTAGGCATTTGCTATTCTATGGTTAATGTTGTACTTTTCAAGAACTCCACTCAACAGGTTATTTACAAAGTAGGTACCCTCATCACTAATTAGTGCCCTTGGGGTACCAAACCTAGTAAAAATTTGCTTTTGAAGAAATTTAACCACAGTTTTTGCATCATTAGTAACGCAAGCCATGGCCTCTACCCATTTTGATACATAATCAACAGCCACTAGAATGTATTGACAATGATTTGATGGAGGAAATGGACCCATGAAGTCTATCCCCTATACATCAAACAACTCTACTTCTAAGATCCCATTAAGTGGCATTTCATTCCTTTTGGAAATGGAACCACTTCTTTGACACTCATTGCATCTTTGTGCAAAATTGTGGGCATATTTGAAGAGAGTAGGCCAATAAAATCCAGATTGTAAAACTTTAGCAGTTGTTCTTTGGCCTCTAAAGTATCCTCCATATGCTGCTTGGTGGCAATGCTGCATGATTGCTACCACTTCAGTTTCTGGGATGCACCTTCTTAAAATTTGATCTACACTGATTTTAAACAAATAAGGGTCATCCCAAAGGTAAGTTTTAGTATCATGGAGAAACTTTTTGAACATATGGCCAGAAATATCAGAAGGTCTAATTCCACAAGCCAAATAGTTTGCTATATCAGCAAACCATGGTGGCTTTGATTCTAACACTAGAATTCTCTCATCGGGGAATGTTTCAACAATCTCTCCTTCTTCTAGGCTCTCCCTAGGCTTCTCTAATCTTGACAAGTGGTCAGCAACTTGGTTGTCAACTCCTTTCCTATCCACTATCTCAAGGTCAAACTCTTGCAACAACAGAACCCATCTTATTAACCTAGGTTTACCATCTTTTTTTGGAAATCAAATACTTGATGGCAGCATGGTCAGTGTGAACAATGACCTTTGTTCCCATCAAATATGATCTGTATCTTTCAAAAGACAAAACCACAGTTAACGGTTCTTTTTCAGTTGTTGTGTAGTTGAGTTGTACTTCATTCAAGGTCTTACTTGCATGATAAATTGAATGAAAAACTTTTTCCTTTCTTTGACCTAAGACAGCTCCAACAGCCCAGTCACTGGCATTACACATGGTCTCAAAGGGTTTGTTCCAGTCAGGAGCAACAACTACTGGTGCAGTTACTAAGCTTTCTTTAAAGTGTTGAATGCATTTCTACATTCATTCGTAAAATCAAACTTTTGATCATGTTGCAAAAGTAAACACAAAGGTTTTGAGATTTTTGAAAAGTCTTTTATAAACCTTCGGTAAAACCCAGCATGACCAAGAAAACTTCATCTACCTCAACTCCTCTTTTGGAAATTAAATGGCCTAAAACAATTCCTTCTTTGACCATGAAATGACATTTTTCTAGTTGAGAACCAGATCAGTTTCTTCACATCTTTCAAGACTCCTTTTTAGATTTTCCAAACAATTATCAAAAGATGAGCGATAAACTGAAAAACCATCCATAAAGATTTTTATGGATTTTTCAAGCATGTTAGAGAATATGGACATCATGCATCTCTGAAAAGTTGCAAGAGCATTGCAAAGTCCAAATGGCATTCTTCTAAAGGCAAAAGTACCATAGGGACATATGAAGGTGGTCTTTTCTTGGTCCTCGGGTGATATGACTGTTTGGTTATATCCAGAGTATCCATCCAAAAAGCAGTAATACTCTTTTCCAGCCACCCTGTCTAACATCTGATCAATAAAAGGCAATGGAAAATGGTCCTTTTGAGTGGCTTTGTTTAGCCTACGATAGTCCATGCATATCCTCCAACCAGACACTATTCTTGTGGGGATGAGTTCATTCTTGTCATTGGTGACAACTGTAAACCCTCCCTTCTTTGGGACACACTGATTGGACTAACCCAAGAACTACCGGCTATTGGAAAAATTATTCTGGCATCTAGCCATTTCAAAATTTCCTTCTTCACTACTTCTTTCATGACAGGGTTCAATCTCCTTTGAGGCTCTATAGATTTGAAGTTCTTTTCATCTAGGATGATCTTATGTTGACAAATAGAAGGACTAATCCCCTTAAGGTCAGCAATGGTCCATCCTATGGCTTTGGTGTGCAACTTCAACATATCTACAAGCTTCTTTTCTTGATGTAAGTCTAGGGTAGATGATATGATAACAGGTAATTTACCTTCCTCTCCTAGAAATGCATACTTCAAGTGAGATGGGAGTTGCTTTAACTCCAGAACAGGTGGTGAAATTATAGACGGGGTAAAATTCTTAAGCTCACTATTGTCCAACAGCTCAAATGCTGCAGCATCAGATGGGACATCACCTTCTAAATCCTCAACAATATCATCACCTATCTCAGCACCTTCCTCCTCTTCTAACTTACAGGCCTTCCTAACTCCTTCCTCATAGCACAATGTCTCAATCTCAGTAACTCCTAAGCATTCCTCTAAGTAATCAGGGTACTTTAAGGAATTAAATATATTGAAAGCGACTTTTTGGTCTTGGAGTCTCATGGTTAGCTTTTCTTTTTGGACATCAATCAAAGTTCCACCAGTGGCTAAGAAAGGTCTCCCTAAGATGATGGGAATATCCTTATCAGCCTCAAAATCCAGAATGATAAAGTCAGCTGGAAATATGAATTTGTCAACCTGAACTAAGACATCCTCAATCATACCTTTAGGATAAGCAATGGTTCTATTGGCCAATTGCAAGGTGACAGTGGTGGGTCTAGCTTCTCCAATGCCTAAGGTGTTAAAAACAGACAAGGGCATGAGGTTGATACTAGCTCCTAGATCACACAATGCTTTACCAATCTCCTTTCCACCTATAGAACAAGGAATAGTGAAACTCCCGGGATCTTTAAGCTTAGGGAGTATTTTGTTGGTTAGAAGTGCACTACATCCCTCGGTAAGAGCTACGGTCTCATATTCGGTTAACTTCTTCTTCTTACTCAAAATGTCTTTAAGGAACTTGGCATAACTGGGCATTTTCGCAATTGCTTCAACAAGGGGTATGTTGATATGCAATGCTTTAAACACTTCCAAAAACTTCTTGAATTGCAGTTCTTCCTTTTGGTTCCTTAACTTTTGGGGAAAAGGAACATAAAGATGAACTAGCTTTATGATAGCTTTGTCAGGTTGTGTTGAGCAAGATGGGTCCAGAGTGCCTAGAGTCTTGGTCTTACTTTCTTGAGGTTCAGATGAGATTTCGTCTTTGGTTTTTGGACCTGTTATAACCTCATCCTCAATTGGCTTTTTCCTAGCAACTTTTTCTGGAAATAACAAAGGATAGTCCGACTTAGGAGGAACAAAAGTGGTGGTCTCAGGAGGTTGGTCATCCAAAGGTTTTGGTGGACTTTCAGTAACAGGGACCATGGGTATAGTCTCAGGTTTAGACACAACCTGTTCACTTTCTTTTGGGATAGTCTCGGTTAATTCCTTTCCACTCCTAAGAGTCATTACCTTTACATGTTCTTTTTCTAGATCTCTCGGAACTTCAGTGTTACTAGGCAAAGTACCAAGGGCTCTACTATTCTGATTAAGAGCAAGTTGACTGACTTGCGTTTCTAGGTTTCTAATGGCAGCATTTTGTTGATTGAACAAAGATTGATTTTGAGTCATCATTTGCTGCTGTGCTTGGGACTATGCTACCAGTCCTTTTATTATAGCTTCCAAGGAAGATGATGATTCGGACTGTGGAGGTGGTTTGGTCTGAAAAGGTGGTTGATTACTTTGAAAATTCCGGTGATGGTGATTCTGAGGATTAGAACTGCTTGCATTTTGTTGTTGTTGAAAATTAGGGTTTCCTTGTTGCTTATGGACTGGAGGATTAAAACTTGAACTATTCCATGAAAAATTTGGGTGCTTTCTCCAACTGGCATTTTATGTGCTAGTGTAGGTATTCGATCTGTTATGAACATAATTCATAGATTCAACATTATGTGGACACAGTTCATAAGAGTGTTCCCCTCCACAACAGACACACTGCACTGAGAGGACAGCTGGAATAGGTGATATAACAGCTGACTGCACTCCTTGGCCAGAAGTTAGATTTTTAAGCATATTGGCCATAGAAGAGAGTTGTGCTGTTAATGCAGTATATGCATCAACATCATGTATTATTGATGTCTTCTTTTGTGATTGAGCACGTGGATCAGTCCAATGTCCATTATTAGCAGAAATGTTTTCTAGGATCTCATATCCTTCATTGTAGGTCGTAACTGTAAAGGCTCCGCCGTAGTCGCATCGAGCATTTGTTTTGCCATGGGATTTAACCCATTGTAAAACATCTCGAGTTGAATACAGTACGGGATGCCATTGTGAGAGTATCTCCTTAACAGCTCTTTGAACCTTTCCCAAGCGTCAGGAACAACTTCATCGTCCATTTATTTAAAAAGGCAAATTTCATTCCTCGACTTAGCGTTCCTAGTTGGTGGGAAATATTTTTGTAAAAACTTTTCCGCCATATTATTCCATGAAAGCACAGAACCCGGTGGTAATGAATTAAACCATGCCTTTGCCCGATCCCTTAGARAAAATGGGAATAAAGTGAGTCTCAGAGCGTCATTAGACACTCCCGGGATCAGGAAAGCATCAGTGATTTTCATAAAAGATTTCAAATGTGAGTGTGGGTCCTCCGAAGGTAATCCGGCAAATTGTCCTTTTGTTTGCAACATGTGAAACATAATCGGTTTTAGTTCGAAATGAAGAGCAGTCATATGTGGCCTAACTATCTCGGAATTTAATTGCTCAAAATCAGTGATGGCGTAGTCCATGATTCGTCCATTTTTGGAATTTGCCAAATTAATGATGTTTGGAGTTTGCTCTCTTGGTTGTTCATTATTTTCCGATTTCGTGTCCTCATTACCCAAATTATTATTATGATGATGTGGGGGTCCTTGCGGAAAAATCGGAAAAATGTGGTACTGTCCCAAAGGCAGGCGGTTGGTTTTCTAAATGTGGAATCTCAGGGATGACTGGGGAAGGTAACTCCATGTTGGGAGAGAGTAGAGCAAAAAATGCTCTTTGAGCCTCCTTTGGCGAAACGTTCTCTCAATATCGGGATCCAATTCAAAAATTTCACCGCGATGTCTTCGTGAGATACACTACTTTAAAAATGATTTAAAAACGGGATGAGAAAAATTCAAATCTTTTACTTTACTTACAAGAAAACTTTTAACTAACAAAATCCCGGCAGCGGCGCCAAAAACTTGATGGCGATTGAGCAAACAAGGCCACAAACAACAATCAGGACTAAAAGCAAGTATACAAATAGTCCCAATATCATTTTTCAAGTAATAAAAGTGGTACAAGTACCAGATATCGTCCACAGGGATCGTAGTAAAAGTTTAAAAGAAAGTAAAGTTAAGGAAATGATTTTAGAAGGCTAATTCGAAGATTTTGATTAGAACATAGTTAACACAACTAAAAATTAACAGGAGATAACAGAATAATAAAAGCAAGCTAGGGTGTATGACTTTTCGGGTGAGATGTAAATACTATTTCCAGTCGACCAATGCTGTCAAAATGCTACAGCATGAAACCATGTTGACAAATTACTACAACATGCAATCAGTAACAACTATTTTTACCAATTACTTTGAAAGTATTCCTCTCGGACTTCACCAATGCACTGATATTATAGCTTTCAACCAATATCTCTATGAGGTATCCAAACCAGTGAAAGTGACAAATGGTGTCTTCAAAGTATATAAATAAACAAATCTCTTTGTTAAAAATCACTCTCTTGAGTGGATTCCCATATCATTCAAGTTGACGTGTCTGAATGGCTCATCTCTGAGTCCATTCCACTTTAACACTTCAGAGTGATCAACCCGTCGAGAATTAACAACTTAGAAAATACGGATAACAAATATCTTTGTTAGCAACTCTCTCAACTCTACTTCCCATATCATCCAAACTGACGTGCAATCAATGGCTCCGCTTAGAGTCCACGACACTTTAACACTTTCAAAGTGATCAACTCGTCAAGAAGTGTCATTGGTTTTATAAAATTTGAAATGAAAAAGTAAAACATCGTTGTTACATGAAAGGGCCAACTATATTTTGGTTTAAAAACTCACCCTTTTCGTCATACAACCGAGCTAATAAAATTAGCTACTCATGATGAAAAGTAAATGACAAGAAATATAAATTACAATAAGTAAAGACATAAAATAAATGCGGAAAGTAAATGACGGAATAATAAAGATGCGGAAAGCGTAAATAAATAAATGACATAAATAAAATGCAAGTAAGCGTAAATAAATAAATGACGGAATAATAAGAGCGATAATATAAAGAAATGGATTAAATAAAGCGATTAAAGAAACTCGAAATGTAACCAAAAGATTAATAATATTAAGAAACTTGTTCTCCAAGTAGCATGCAAACTACTTGAAGAGAGAAACAAAAGAGAATATGGTGTAAGAAGTGAGGTGGTGAATGGTGTGGTGTGTTGAAAACTCATCCCAACATCCCTTTTTTATACTAGGGATGGAATGAGGTTAAAATGGACATTTCACACCTCCATAGTTTAAAAGAAACTAAAAAGTACATATTAGCAAACTAATATTTAGAAAGCAACTAAATTTGTCTTGTAAACTCCAGCTAATCTGATCAAACTACAGTTGTTTCAACTTTAGAAGTCTTTCAAAGGTCTTCCCCATGTCTTGTCGGTCAACTCTAAGTCTCATCCATCTCTTCTTCTACCATCAGGTCATGCTACCACATTTCCACAGCATCGACCTGCTCCAATCTGTCCAAAATAAACTCATTTTAGACCAAAATCCACTAAAAACAGGTTCATCAATCTTCGTAGCATAAAAACAGAGAAAAGAGATTAAATAACTCAAAGTTGGGATATAAATAAAAAATAACCTAACTAAAAGAGAATAAAAAGGTATTTTACGTACTAAATACTTAGTACGTATCACCTACGTACCCTTTGCATGGGATCAAACTGTCGTAGTTCACATCATCGGGTGATGTCTCCACCTTACCCTGACACCGCCCAATGGGGTCATTGCTCTCAAGAGCAATAAACACCAAATGATATTTAGTAATTCCAAGCAATGCTTAAACTTACCACCACGGTACCACCTTGGTTAACATGTCTATGGGGTTCTCATCCATATGCACCTTCATGAGAGAAATATCACCATCTTCTATGACATCCCACACAAGATGATATCTAACATTTATATGTGTTGTGGAGGTCATGGAGGATGTTATTGCGGTATAGGAGGATTTGAAGGTGGCCAACAGTGGTAGTGTTGGTGGTAATGCGTGGTGGTGTTTAGTGACCGATGGTGGTTGTAAAGGTGGCAATGGATAGTGGTGAACGAGGTTGTTGTAGTAGAAGAGGAGTTAGAGGTGGCGAATGACGGTAGTGGTGGTGGCAATGGACGGTAGTGGTCAGTGGTTGAATATGGCAGAGATGGCGATGGACTTGGTGAATGGTGGTTGTGGAGGCGATAGAGGATGTTGTTGTAGTGAAAGAGAAGGTGGAGGCGGCCGAAACTAGTATGATGACCATTAAAACAAATATCATATTAAGGTTATATATCGAACTAAGGTAGATTAGTAATATTTTAGTTTCTGTCTCATTCTTGTCTGATCTTGTTCCATCTATTTTGGTGGAACAAGAAAAAACCTCTTTTGTCTCATGTTGTCCCACCTTGTCCCAATTCTTGTCCCTATCCCATGTCGCGTCAAACGTAGGATAGTGAGTTCTTGATTTGTCCCATGATGCGCCAAACGTGGGACAACGAGTTTTGTCATGTCCCGTCCCATCCCATGTACCAAATGCATCATTTATAACTAATAGTGATACTTTTGGAGGGTATAGTTCAAGTAGTATAGGTACGAAATACAAAATGCTCTAAGTATGTAATGCTTGATGATTTAGGAAGGAAGAGACTTGTACATGACATCAGCATCCCTATTTCATATTTATGATATCATACAAAGTGCTTTATATGTAAATTCATGCCATTATGAGTATATGTTTGAAAGTAGAAGATCATTATATTTGTTATAGTTAATTCTATATTTTTACGTATTGCATTTACTATTTTTCTACTTAAGCAACGTTCTAATACTTGACTGTGGTTATATATTAAGGACATCGTTACCACACTATTTACAGAGTTGGCTTCCATGTTCCTTTTGTTGCTACTACGAGCCCTTAATCATCAAAACCTTCTACAAACCATCATTCTTAATTATTCTACCTTACATAATTCCTTTTACCTTTCTCTCTCATAAGTATTGGTGCTTAAGAAAGTGATTTGAAACAATGGAAAACTCGAGAAAAAAAGTAGTGCATTACCATCGACAATGACAAGGAGGGTCTTTCATACGCCCTCAAGCCCATTTCCTGTTGATGACGTCCGTTTCAATTCCACGGATGCAACATATACCTTTTTTGAAATTTGCACGACTGTGGTACATAAACGGACACGACTATGTTGTACCTTATCATAGATCTCTCTTTTGATGTAGATTTATTTTACGGTCTAGGCTTCTCTTTTCAGTTTTAGCACTTAATCGTAAGTAAAATGCTTGTATATTAAATTTTATTTTATTTTATTTGTGAGTAACATGCTATGTGGTATATCAACGAGAGGTTCATGTGCCATCAATAAGCAATGATCAAAATCAACAAAATAAAGTTCATAAAATGAGTTTAAAATTTTATAATTTCAAAATTCTTCCAAACATAATTAGTGTTTAATCACTGAATTCTCAACCTCAGTTTTAAAACCATTTTTCATACCATCTCGTATTCTTGTTTGAAGCTGATAACACTTTTACATCATTTTTGGTGTTGATGAAATTTGGTTTTCTACTATTCTTTTACAACAATTTAAGTGTTAAACATTTCATCAAGTTTTTTGACACTTAAACTAAATTTAGTTCAATTCATTGTAAATCATAAATGTCAATATTATATCATAAATTATATCTAAAATAAAACGTAAGTAAATAAAAGGATTGAATTTTTTTTAATATATAATCTATCACTACGATAAAATTGGGTTTATAAAACGTAAAAAATTCCTAGACATTCTAATAGAATGCTTTATAAAACATAATTTATATGATCAAAAAATAAAACGTCTTATCTAAATTGTAAAAGGTTTACAAGATTTTTTAGGTATCATAACAAGTTTTTAGGACATTTGTGTAAAAAAAAACATTGTATTATCTATTTTGTAGCACACTATTTGAAAAAGTGTCTTGTAAAAACAAGTGTTTTATAAAAAAAACGTGTTTATAGGACAGGTTTCAAAAATATCATATAAAATAAGTAATGCGACACTTTGTATTAGAAGTTTTCTAAAAGCTTTTTAAAGACGTTCAAAAACGTTTTATAAACTTATTAATGTCTTTGAATAAAACGTTTTTGTTTTTGATCATATAAACGAAGTCTTATAAAAGGGAGAATGAGTGGCTTAAACCTATAGTGATTTTGAGGTCCAAAATGCAAATTCGATTTGGATAAGCATAGTCTCCACGAATTTGATCAATAATTTGTTTTGCAAGTTGGTTTTCAAATCTGAATGGTTGGCATTTTTTTACATACATGGTGTTTACATTCACATTTGTATTTTTCATTTTAATAAAATCGTATCTTTCATCGTAAAATCATATCTTCTGTTGTTTCATTTGCTTAAGAAAAAGGCATAGGAGTATCTTTTAGCATCTTCGCATAGGGTATCAAAAACCTCAGCCCTGCCAAGGAATAGGGAGGATGTTTTGGATCCATTTCGTACCCTACCTTGTACATATTTCTTACTAAACACATTAAGCTAAAAAAATTCAAAGTTAACTTCTACTGAAACCGGAAAAGCTTTCAACCATACAAGCTTATCCTCGTGTTAATATGGAGCTACGGTGGGTGCGAAAAAGGTTGCCGCTTGGGCTTCGAGTACATTGTAGATCCCATGTTGGTGTTGATTGGATCATGTAGTGGCACCGCTGCGTCTGGACACCAGGTGCTAGGTAGCTCTTTCTCAGATTATTGTTTACATTAAGTTGTCTTATATTTGTAACTTGAAGAACTACAATAATGGTGAAGACGTGGGAGGTGGCAGAAGAGGAATAATAGGAGATGAAAGAGATGCATGAATTGGTTCATAGGTTGACACAATCGGGAACCATGTTATGATGATTAGTTCATTCGATTTGGAACTCAATAATTTGTAGTTTGCAATTTTAATCGGATATTCGTCGTTAATTTGTGTTGAATTTATCATATTTGTGTTAACGTTTGTTTAGTTTACATCTCACCTTTAGTGTTGTTTGGTCTTGGACATTTTGGACGCTATCCATACAATCCTTTGGTGTGTAAACGTAGTGAAATAGAAAACAAGAAAGATATGATCGTATGGTTGTCTTTCAACCCCACCGGTAGGCTTATAAGTCAGAAGAAAACAAGAAAGATATGATCATATGGTTGTCAGTCAACCACTCCAGTAGGCTTTCAAGTTAGACACGGCAAGCATTGAATATTTGACTTTCTCAGGTCTATTAAGACATTTCCTGACTTGTGGTCCACAAACTATCAAAGATGTTAAAATTAACATGAGATGACATATGGAAAACCAATTACTTATATATAGGTTTATGATTATGTATTGCGTCCTATAGAAGGTTAGCTTGAGAACCCCCTCAAATGCTACTCCACTTGTAATTAAGCCACAAAACACACAGCCATGAAAACCCTTGTTCTAATGTGGGTACTACTTCTAACGTTGATCTCTTTTACAGCATCTGAAACATACACCCTCATTAACTCTACCAATTTAGCAAAGCCAGGTTGCCCCAGCCGATGCGGAGATGTAATTGTTCCCTACCCTTTTGGCATCGGCAACAACACCAATTGTTCTATAGGCCATGGGTTTAACGTCTACTGTAACCAAACTTCAGATCCTCCAAGGGCCACTTTAAGAGAAGAAGCTTACACCTCACTCAAACTTATATCTGATTCTACACTCAGGACTACCAATAAGGTGTCTTCCAGATGCTATTTACCAAACGGCACAGTTTCAACTTCATTCCAGATTTCCCTGGGTTATGCAGATTTGCCTTACACCTTCTCGGAAGTAAATAAGTTCATAGTCATCGGCTGCGATGATTATGCTTGGCTGACTTCAGGAACGCAGTCTAGGAATATATCTACAGGTTGTATGGTCTTTTGCTCAACACCAGAGGATGTTGTAGGTGATCAGTGTTCAGGCAATGGGTGTTGTCAATCAGCCATACCGCACGACATAAAATACTATGGAACTCAGCTCAGGACCTTGCAGAATTCAGACGACATGAACAATACGAGGACTTTTAATCCTTGCACATATGCGTTTGTTGGTGAGGAAAACGCATTCAAGTTCAATGGTGCAGCAGATTTGAAAGATACTTCCTTGAGTGAAACGATTGAACCAAGTGTCCCAATAGTGCTTGAATGGGCTATTGGTAATCTGAGTTGCAGTGATGCCAAAGCTATCGACGGTTTCGCCTGCCAATCAAACAGTAAGTGTGTTGATTCTAAAAGGGAAAGCGGTGGGTACCGTTGCATTTGTAGTGAAGGCTATGAAGGAAATCCTTATCTATATCCTGGTTGCCAAGGTATAATCTTAGTTTTTCTCCAACTGTTTATCGCAAATTATTTATATTTTCTTCTTAAGATTTCCTTCAACTTTAATTTATTTGTTTTATATTTTAGAAATAATCAAAATTTCTTTTAACCAAACGTTCGATTGAATCTCGTAGCAACGAGAGTATGTTGTTGCATATTGTTGGTTTGATCTTTCTTGTTAATTTACCAACGACAAAAATAAGTATGAATAAGATTGTCTTTTATACTAAAGTTATAATGTCATTTTTTCCCTTTTCTTGGATCCCATGATCCTGGGTCACTAAGGCCAACTTTCGACCCTGCTTGACAAACCCAAGAATCATCTTGGGAATTCTCAGGCTGATTTATGTCCCTGCTCGACGGGTGGGTCTTGCGACTGTTTACGAAAAACACATGTCTTCGTAAAATCGTTGTTTGAGACTGTTTTTTAAGTTATAACTAATTTGATAACGTTAAATATATCAAAAGATATAACTTTTTAGTCTCTCCTTAGAGAAATTTATAGAAATAGTCAATTTGTCAAAGGGTTATCATTTTTTTAGCTCTTTTCAGAACCCGTTCCACTATGATACTTCTACTTAAAATGCACAATTATTTTGTCTTATAAACTTATATTTTATGAAACAATCTTTTGAAACACTTAAAAGAAAGAAAAAAATGTAAAGTTTCAAAATTGCAATCACCAAACGTATCATATATATATATATATATATATATATATATATATATATATATAGGGGTGGGTTCAAATAAAAACCATGAAAACCTTATTCAACCAATCATAATTTTTTATTTTGTTCATTTTTTTTTTTGTAATTATGAGAGGTTGATTAACCATTTTTATTATGGAGGGTGTTAATCATGGATATTATCATCTTCATTATTTTAATTTTAAAGAAATACATGAAACAATTTCATTAAAATTTCATTAAGTAGTATATGAAACAATTTTACAAGATTAACAATTTCATGAAAAAWTTTCATAAGATTAAYGATKGATGAGAGTAGTTTTTACGGTTTTTATAAATTGGAGTGGTTTTCTTTTGATCGCTCCTGGGTTCACGTGAGACCAACCTGTTTTCGTGAGACTCGTGATACCACATTTTTACATTTGAAACTTCACACCAAAAACACTGTGAAGGTTACAAAAAAGTCATCTTCACAGCATTTTGCTATAAAGTTTCAAGTGTAAAAAGGTGGTCTCATGGGTCTCACGAAAACAGGCTGGTCTCACATAATCCCAAGTGTGTATATATATATATATATATATATATATATATTTGAGGTTTAACTTATATTCTTATGTGACTATCCAATATGGTAAAACGTAGTTGATAAGTTAGATAATAATGTAAAATAATCTAAAACACAATGTATTTATGTAATAGAAGGGGGAAAATAGGAAAAAGTGCACAAAGCCTCTAGAGATTATTAAAAACCCTATGTAAAATTACTTTTCAATAGTTAATTAATGACTTATTAACCGAGTCTTTTATAAAAACTCAAAAATAAATTATCTTATGGTTGTCAAACTTGGTCTAAATCGATTATTACATTTCCTTACCCAAAAAAATAATGATCTACCCAAAAATTGTATTGAATTTGTGAACATTTTTCTTTGGCAGACATCAAGGAGTGCGACGATAAAAGCAACATCAGCTGCTATGGTCGTTGCAGTAATACTGAAGGGGGTTACAAGTGTACATGTTTTCCAGGATACATCGGTGATGCAACAATACCAGAGGGCTGTCAACCTGCTCCTAAAGACTCGAAATTCCCAGTTATGGTATTCACTTTAGGTAAGTCTTCATATAAGTATAATAATATAATGACTATTACGTTTGTGTATATGTCAATAAGCTATATTGATCCATGAACGTCGAAAGGGAAACCGTTACTTGGTTAGTCTTGATTAGACTGATCCACTTTATGATTTAAGAAGATCTTAACAGGCAACCTCTTGAAGAATTTAATCAGTCTGGACCATTGAAAATGTAGGGTTGGTCGCAGTTGCAATATCGTATTATCAAAGTGATTTACGATCCCAATCTGATAACAATAAACCACAGTACAAACTGACCTATACAACAAATGTGGATTAACGAGATGTAAATATTATATATTACGGTCTAAAAATTAATAGCGATCCACAAACATAAATATAGCAGTTATATCAAAATATACGATCAAATAACAAAGCGACACGTAAATCGAGATATCAAGATTTTACATGGCTCCACTATCGAAGTGATAGTGTACGGAAAGAGATATATTAATTTATTACTAATCGGAAGAAATTACAATGCGTTTACAAGATCCTTAGATCAACGAATCAACTATCCAAAATGGTTCCCAAATACAAAAGTTAAAAAAAAAATAACTCGACGAGAGGAAAATTAAAGTGCGGAGGAAATCTTTTGCATGTGTATTAGATTCCATGCAAGTTGGTGATGCTAGTTG